CAGCTTGTTTTGATCCCAGATAGAATTTATGGTAATAATATAACAAATTTTTTTTTAAAGCAAGAATGCTCTTGTTATACTCTTGTTTTTATAAAAGCCACCCAACTACTTTTGCGGTCCTCTCGATGTCTGTCCTTTGTAATGAATAAGTCAATGTTTTCTTCCACCCCACGAATCAAGGTTCCTTGGCTGTTGGAGAAAGGTCAACAAGTTGGTCGCACGAGCAGCGAGAATGCTGTCTTGACCTTACTACCAGTCCACTTTTTAACGGAGGAAGTGGGAAGATCTGTCCTACATTTCCTTTCTTTTCGTTGACTGCTGAGGCCCTTTCCCCTCTCGTGCTTGGGGACTGTCCTGAAGGCACCAGCTTCCTGATGCTCAGGAACGGATGCCGAGGTCTTCGAGGCTTAGCGTTCTCTCGCTCCCGCGGTCCCCATGCCCGCAGGACCTGCCTGCAAGTCCGCACACCTGTGGCTGATCCTTAGGTGGCGGTTCTCGACCTCAGCTGATCATCAGAATGACTTTGGGAGCTTTCGGGAGCACAAATGCTGGGAGTCGCCCCGAGAGATTCGCGCTGCACCAGGCTGAGGAGTGACTCGCCTCAAGACTTTGCAGAGTGGCCCAGGTGGCTTCGCTGTGCACCCGGGGCTGAGCACCTGGCCCCCAGGGTGGCCATGCGCAGGCTGGTGAGGCTGTTGGTGGCCCTCAGCAGTATGGCGAGTAACCCAAACATGCTGACGTGATGTGGGTGCTATAGATTTCCTAGCCTACGTTGGTAAACACATCTCGATTGTAAACACACAAGTAAAATAATTGGCATCAAAGTCAGATTAGTATGTAGCGGCCAACACAATGCTACGTTATTGCTTTTCTTACATTTCCGGCGTCATCCTGGCAGATGAGTGACGTGTGGCAGGTGTTTGGATCCGTGTGTTTGTGGTAACAGACAGTAAGTAATTCTTTCCCGCCAACATCGCCCCGGACTCAACAGAAGCTGCTGCAGACTAAGACTAAGCTAGAGGTACATGCCCACCTTTCCTCATTTTCTAAATAAAAAGATATGATTCTCCGCCTCATCAGGATGACCTTAGCTCTGCGGTGACATTGTGCCTTTTTTTCATAAAAGAGACTTTTCTCTTGTTTCGGTTAAATCCCTCTAAACAAAGATTTCACTTTCAAATTTTGATTCTCCTGAAGTCTTTCCACTCTGTTCCCTTTAGTAGAAAAGTGAGTTTTCCTAAAAATATATCTTATAAAATTCAGTGCTACATAAGAGGATAGTATTCTTCAAAAAAGTTACAAAAATAGACTTACATTAAAACAAATCCTATCTGAATGTGTCTTTAATAGTACAAAAGTGTATATGCCCCTGACATGGCAGGCGCGGTGGGAACGGAGGCAGGGGTTTCTATCCAAGTAGGTTATACAGCTCCCAGGTGGGGAAATAAACAGATCGTGACCATAGGTTATAATCACATGTTTCTCAGAGAAATGCAAAGTACACATTAAGGACAACTGTGACGAGAGAGAGCTGTGTCTTTGAGTGAGCAGCTCATTCAGTGCCGGAGGACCTTGAGTTTTCTAACTCACTTCTTAGAAACCACAGACACTCCCAAGGCTTTATCCAGGCTCAGATTTGGGCACCTCTCACTTTCAGATCTCAGTTAGGTGCCGGTGACAAAGAATTAGAGGCTTTTGGGGCAGACACTGATGGCCGGGTCTCAGGCACAGCAGGGGCGGCAAATTGTTCATCCTTCCGCTGCCTCTGCATGGGGATCTTTACCACAGGCAGAGTGTTTTATTCTGTCCTGACGGGGGGCCTGGTATAAACCACAGGCTGGTACGACCGGGGGTGGCCTTAGAGTTGAGAGTGTCATCTGGTTGCCCATGACAATCGCATGCGGAGGTTCCCGTTACTTTGATCGGACGGGACCCAGCCCCCTCTTCTTAAGCTCAGCAGGTGACTCAAGCAGGCAGTGAGGGTGAGAACGTCACGTCACCATGGTCCAATGGCCTTATACTCCGCTGGTGAAGCCCGAGGCCTGCGGCAAGTGAGTTATGAGCAGGAAAGCCATCAGCCAAGGGTCAAGTGGTTCCCGAGCTTCAGGGGTCCATGCAAATAACCTGGGAGAACTTAGAAAAGTCCCCGGGCCTGGCCGCGCCAGAGACAAGCTCAACCGGAATCTTCTCGGTTGGGGCCCAGGAGAGTCCCAGAGCCCCAGGGTAGCTGAGCTCGAGAACCAGGGCCTTGGCACCTGTGCGGGCCACGGTTCTGTTCTGTCTGCAGTTTGGGGGTGGCGCGGGTCTAACGCTGAAAATTAAGAACTTCTGAGAAATACCTAAACCTGGTTATCGACGGGGACGCACTCTGATGCCGCCACCATGCTCCCAGCGATTAACTCGGTGACGACCTGAACTCAGAGCACATTAGAGTTTGGAAGACTGGCCTCTGTTTTACTTGATGAGGTGACAGAGGTATTTTTCACGGAGTATGATCACAGGGTTCGGACGGGAGCTCGGGAGACCCCTCCTGCTTTCTCCTGCTCTGAGGCGTCTACGAGCCCCTGCACCCCGCGAACAGAGTGACGACACTTTGGGAGACACATTCTTGACGTTAAGAGAAGTTAGCAACTAGATTTTATGCAAGAACAGTGAAATACAGAGGAGAAGACACAGCTCGGATGGCTTTGCTGTTTTATTCTGTTATAGTAAAATATTTCAAATTACAAAAATACTAGGATTTAACTGCTACAATTTGACCGGCTACAGTTGCCCTCCCTCATCGGTCACCTGTTTCTTGACAAATAAGTGACAGTGGAATGTGACTAATCCTGCTTCCCAGGGCCGAGAGAACATCTGACTAAGATGTTTCTCTGTGTTCCCAGGGGAATAAATGATGAACGTGGTTTCATAACAACCGGCATAGAACTTCGGCTTCTCAGAAATGGTGTTTAATCTTTTCACTGACCACTTTTAAATCTCTGGTGGGGACACGGCCTCCCCGGTGGGGGGGCTTGGACAGCGGTGCCAGCTGACTCCCAGGCTTAAGGGGGCAGCTGGTTAACTCCGCTCGGCCTTTAAAGCTACGTTGTTAGTCATTCCTCTGGCAGAAGCTCCCTCGGTTGGGGTTCCCTCGGCTGGGAGGGCACGTCCCGTCTCCCTCGTGGCTCAGACCCTGGTCACCTGCCAGCCCCTCTTTCGTGACGAGCCTCCCAGAGCCCCCCCAGGCGGAACCCGCCAGTCCTGGTCTGTGTGTCACAGTGCTTGGCTGACGTGTCTCGTCCGGTAGCGTTTGCAGTGCCGTTTTAAGGTTGGTATCTGTGCGTCCCCTTCCTTTGCTATCTCGTGGGTATCTTGGAATCGGGGATTGTGTTTTATTTACTTTTGTACCTTTAGTGCCTGTGTTGGGCTGGTATATGTGCTAAAGAATATTTGAGAACATGATGGTATTAAATTCAACATAGTTTATGTTGCCATTGAAACAAAATAAAAATTTTGGTAAAAAACCGTCAGGCCCTGATCCAGTCGAGAGTCAATAATTCAAAAGGAAAAGGAAAACTGTGTGTGTGTGTGTGTGTGTGTGTGTGTGCGCGCGCGCGCGTGTCGAACACATCCACAGGCCAAACGACTGTCTGAAACACTTCTTCCTTGATAGGACGGATGGGCATCCACAGGCCAAAATGATTGTCTGAAACACTTCTTCCTTGATAGGACGGATGGGATGGGTGTTGATGAAGTGTCTAAAACACGGTTTTAGACTAGGAAAAAAAGCTGGCATCCTACCTAGCTGGATCCCCCAGTTTTTAAAGAGGAAAAAACATTTTTGCTTCTAACACCTGTGGATGCTGTAGAGGCATCATCATCAATTTCAAACCCGAATGTCCTATTTATCACTTGGATTCCACGCTATACACGTGATTATCTTTATTTCCACCTGTAAAATGTGGTCACAGGTGCGGGGGGGCTGTAGCTTGCATAGCTGCCTGAGAGCCTAGGTCTTTATAGTCACAAGGGCAGGGGGGACTTTGAGGACAGCTTACCAGGGAAGAACAAAGTACCCTTTGAGTAAAAAACTTTTAAAGTGAAAGAGAAAGGACATTATCTTCCATGAGTAGTCTAAACTAATTTTTGGGGGGGAGGGGCAAAGCTAAGTGAGTTTTAAGCACAGCTTCATTTCTGCAGCCTCCTGATATATGCCCGCCGCCTGGCCCCCAAAGGACTTGATGGATATTTTCTGAGACTCATATCGGGGGGGCCATGTTCTTGTCTGAGCTTTTGCATCGTCGTCCCGTCTTAAAGGCCACTGGTCTGAATGCTGAGGGAACTACCCGAGCTGAGTGGGGTTATCGTGCGAGGTACCGTCTCTTCTCGCTGACGGGGAAAGCATACTGAATTTCAAAACGATGGCATGGAAAATAAACAAGGAGGTCTACGGCTTATAATTAGAAAACACTGGTCAACCAGTGGAGAGTAAGTACCGCGGAGACACGTATACAAAAGTAAGTCAGAGGGGGAGTCTACGCCCCGGTTTCTTCCTTGCCCAGGAACGGTTCGAAGTGGCTTATCCTCTCGCACCTGCCACGATGCGCTACGGTAAATCGTGGAAGACTGCTGGTTTGTAATTGTCTTGCGATGGAAGAGGCTCGAAGCAGAGCCAGAGGCACTGGGTATCGGCTGGTCGACTGGCCCTTGCTCTTGGTCACAGCTGGGCCTCGTTGACGCCGGGCAGTGAGTGCTACGTACGAGCAAGCTTCTTCCTCGCCGAACAGCCCATTCCAGACAAAACCGACAATGGCAACGAAAACCCCAAAAGTCCCCAAGTAATGAAACTTCTTAGATATGTGTAGTGATTTTTTTTTTTTTTTTCCAAATATACCTCAGGGAAAGGTGAACTTCCGCCCAAAAGGACCACCCTCTTTCTGGATGCCTTTTTTGGAAGCCTCACAGTTTGAGGACGAAGCAATGTCCTTGC